AGTGTTTACATCTTAGTGTTTCTATTTTTTTTTTTTTTCAAGCAAATATAATTTGGGATTTAAAATGGGGACCCATTACCTGCTGAACAAAACCTTTCTTTTAACTTACTTTACCTTGAAAGTTGGTTTTGTTGTTTTGTGTTTTGTTTTGTTTTGTTTTGTTTTGTTGTTGTTTTTGCCACTGGTGCCCCCTCAAAAAAAAATAGATCAGTGATGCCCCAGGGGGTCCTGATGCCTTTTGTCTTTTTTTCCTCCAGATTTTCTGCTTAATCTCACTATCATACCCTTTTTCTGTTCATCACCATTGCTTTCAGTTTCTTTTTAGTTTGTGTTCATTATTAGTTCTTATTCCTTTTCAGTGCCACATCTTGTTCTTTTCTTCATAGAAAATGTTTTCTTATTCTATCCTGGCCTCCTTTCATAACACCCTTTTCCTTTCAAATATCCTCTGCTCTGACAGTTTTATTAAAGAGATGCTTGAGTAGTGTGGCGTTGAGTGACATGAAGTGTGTGCCATTTCTTTTGCCTCAACAGCTTTTCAAAGGCAAGTTCTACTACTGCTTGGGCCTGGATGTCAAAAACATCACTAACAAGTCTGACTGCCTCTTGGCCAATTATAAGTGGGTCCATCACAAGTACAACTTTGACAACTTGGGGCAGGTTAGTTTGTTCTCTGACTGGGCTTATCAAATTACATGACACATTCACAAAATACCAAATACTGAGCAACTCAATTTGTTGCTTTGTTCAATATACCTTTATTTGTGTGCATCTATACCAGAATGACCTCTTCTTTACATCACATGTGGTTGTCTATCTGTCCTTGCAGCATATTGTCTGTTCAACCCCCATCTATCTTTGTTTGTCCTGCTTGTCTTTCCACCCATCTCCATACATCTGTGTGTCCTTGCATGTGCTCGTATGAACGTGTGTTTATGTTTTACAGGCTCTGATGTCCCTGTTTGTGCTGGCATCGAAGGACGGCTGGGTCAACATCATGTATCATGGTTTGGACGCAGTGGCAGTGGACCAGCAGGTAATGCTCTTCATGTAACATGTTCATCCTGATAATATTAACCTGGTGAATATAAATTGTGATCTTTCAATGTCATATGGATGTTGTAATATATTTGCATATTGGTATCACAGTGAACCATCACTGTCAGTCCTCTCATATAGTCCTCTCAGTGTTAACCCAAAAGCAGGCACATTTATACAGACTTTTTAAAGTACAAATAGCAACACAAATACAATCACACATATGTTATATGTGATTATACAGAAGTCTAGGGTTTAAAGAATTTAAATAAAGCTAAAATAAATATCTGACCGTGGACCACAAAACCAGTCATAAGTAGCACGTTTATATTGTATGGGTCAAAATTATAGATTTTTCTTTTATGCCAAAAATCATTAGGATATTAAGTAAAGATCATGTCCCATGAAGATATTTTGTACATTTCCTACCATAAATACAGTATATCAAAACTTGATTAGTATGCATTGCTAAAAACTTCATTTGGACAACTTTAAATGTGATTTTCTCATTATGTAGATTTATTTTTTTTATTTTTTTTTGCACCCTCAGATTCCAGATTTTCAAATATAAGTAAAGATCATGTCCCATGAAGATATTTTGTACATTTCCTACCATAAATACAGTATATCAAAACTTGATTAGTATGCATTGCTAAAAACTTCATTTGGACAACTTTAAATGCGATTTTCTCATTATGTAGATTTATTTTTTTAAATTTTTTTTGCACCCTCAGATTCCAGATTTTCAAATAGTTGTATCTCAGCCAAATGTTGTCCTATCCTACCAAACCATACATCAATGGAAAGCTTATTTATTAAGCTTTCAGACGATGTATAAATCTCAATTTCAAAATATTGACCCTTATGACTGGTTTTGTGGGGCAGGGTCACATATTAGATGAAAATAAAAAATAAAAAAAATGCTTTAAAGAATAGAAGAATTTACTGAAACTCAAATCAAAATTAAAGCTAAATATAAAAAAATCTAATGAAAATTATAAAAGCACATAAACTTACTTATTATTTATGTTACTTTGGATAAAAGCGTCTGCTAAAAGAACAAATGTAAATGAAAATATAGAAATAAAAGCCAGTTCAGGTTTTTGCAGTGGCCTGGTGCACAGTGTACTTTTATTAAAAACTATATCCTGTAACGAAGATACTAGAAGTAAGCTTTAACAACTGTATAAAATTTAATTTATTTCTGAATTATTTATTTTCATACTTCTTAAGTGTTAAAAGGTCACTGAGCTAAACAAAAGTCAGTTTCTTCTTTAACTAAAATAAAGAGCTTTAAGGAATAAGCACTCAACAGTGAATATTTAATCCTGAATACACACAATCAGCTTCATGAATACTAACAGGCTTTTGGCTCTGAAGCTAAAAACAATGACTTTCAAGAGTCCTCGATTCAGAAAGCAGTGAGCTTGCATCAGTTAGGGACCAGCACATAATGATTAAGTGAAGGCCTGCAGCCAGACCCTCTCACACTGGAAGAGCCCAGCATCTCTACGGAGTCAAACACAGGGTGGAGAAAAAAAACTCATGGATTAAATGGCATGTGTAATTTCCCCACTGCATCATCTCTGTCACACCAGAGTCCACTGCAGGATATAATCTATGTGTGGAAGCAGATGGAAATGTGCAGAGTACCGTGTGCTTTCTCATCCCATGTTTTACAATGAGCTAATTTAGACTTTGCTGTCTTTGTTTCGCTCCACACTGCTGCTAAGCAACCAAGTAAAAGCTGCACCCAAGTTCACTTTACCATAATTTGACCAATTTCCCTCAAGCTTATGAGTGTCTGCATTACACAAGGCTGTGTTGATTATATTGTTAAATTAAATTTTAGGCAGCTCCCTGTTCTGACCAGTTTCTTGTGTCGTTTTTTAGTAGTACTTGTGAAGAAAAGCATTGTTATTATCGTTCCTCATTGTTCTAGCCACACCTTGCAGAATAACCCTTCCTGCCTGGCTAGTGCTAGGGAAGTTAATTATACCTGAAATAATGCCTGTAGGCAGTTCACATTCACATTTTCTTCAGAAAATCAAGTGTATATCAAGTGTTTGTTCCTAACTCTTTCATTCTCCGTTCTTTCTGTCTCTTCATTATTCAGCCCATAACCAATAACAACCCCTGGATGCTGCTGTACTTCATCTCCTTTCTCCTGATCGTCAGTTTCTTCGTACTGAACATGTTTGTTGGAGTGGTGGTGGAGAACTTCCACAAGTGCCGACAGCACCAGGAGGTGGAGGAGGCCAAGAGGAGAGAGGAGAAGAGACTGAGACGCATGGAGAAAAAGAGACGGAGTAAGAAAGAGGAAAAGAGAGGAGAGGCAGAAAGCATGTGTCGTGGAAATGGTTTTGGCCAATAAAAGAGTAATAACAATGGAGAACACCACCTCTTTTTCAATTTAACATGGTCTTTAGTTTGAGACCCTCTTATTAGGCTGAATTAACTTAGATATTTATTTTACCTGCAATAATTCATGATGACAGAATCAACAGGGCAAAAAAATTAATTTAAAGCATAAAAAAGAACTAAACGAAACAAACAAAACAGTTCCACGGAGAGGAGAATGAAATCCATTAGGGAAAGGGGAAAGAGAGGGAAGGATGGAGCGCAGTGAAATGAAAAGAAGTGTAAATGAAAATAAATGATTTGATTTGCACATGATATGCTGAACAACCAGTTTAATTCTCCAGACATCTCATAATAACATTAGCCAGATGGAAAGACCGCACAGGTGTGTTCTGTGATGCTTCTTTCCTCTGAAGAAAACAAATCTAGTTTACGGACCAGAGAATAGCCTTTTTGTCACATATATAAACTGTAGATCATTTTGATAGTAAAATATTCTCTTGCCACAATCTAATGTGCAGAGATAATTGTAAGTAATCCAATAGTAGGTTGATTTTCAGAGAAGTGTGATGATATGATGTTTTAAGATGGCGCCGCGTATGGCTGCCGTGGTGTGGAACGCTCCCATTCTTTTGCTGTTTTTGTTTGTTTGTTCTGTGTTTAGTTATTCTCTTACTATCAGTTTTACCAGAGACGAACTACTGGACATAAGGCAACACACACCAGACAATTTTTTTCCGGTTTTTGATTATTCAGACGCTTTGTTGGATGTTTTGGTCGGAGGGGCAGCGGTACAATTCAAAACGTTCCCTTCTTAACAAAACGGATGAACTTCTTCTCCTCACCTGCACAAACTAGGACTTTTCAAAATCTGATGCATTGTGCTTCACTTAAAACCATTCCGGACAACGCGCTTCATCTGCCGGGCTACCAGCTGTTCAGAGCGGATCGCATTGCGGAGTTAACTGGAAAAACGAGAGGTGGTGGACTATGTTTTTACATAATTGAAGGTTGGTGTTCAGACGTAACAACTCTGAAGAAGATGTGCTCTCCTAATTTAGAGGCGCTCTCCATAAACTGTAAACCGTTCTATTCTTCTCGGGAGTTTTCCTCTTTCATTCTCATGAATGTGTACGTGCTTCCGGACGCATGCCTGAGCGCCGCGATGTAACAGCTGGCCGAACAGATAACTGAAATGGAACAACAGTACCCGGGACTCTCTTTTAATTATTCTTGGAGATTTTAACAAAGCAAATCTCTCCCGTGAACTGCCAAAATACAGACAGCACATTACATGTCCCACCAGAGACAGTAATATATTGGATCACTGTTACATAACAATTAAGGATGCATATCACTCTGTTCCACGGGCAGCTTTGGGGCTCTCTGATCACTGTTTGGTTCATCTTATACCGACCTACAGGCAGAAACTGAAATCAGCGAAACCTGTATTAAGGACTGTAAAAAGATGGACTAATGAAGCAGAGC